CGCCGGTGCTCCCAGACCTTCTGTGGCTCCCTTTGGCTGCACAGGCCACAGCCCTTAGTTGACCTCCGAGATCTACACTAGAGGGAGAAACCTACAGGTCATCCTCTTCTCCTCCCCTCCTCCTCTGCCATGTCCATTCACAAACATTTTATAAAGTTCCTCTGGTAGCCAGGGACAGTGTTAAGCTCTGGGAATAAAACAGACATGTCTGTCTTCTTAGAGGTTACAGCCTGTCTCCGTCCTTCCAGCTCTATAGCCGTCACTTTCCAATCCACGCCCCCCCCAGCCCCCCGCCGCTCACCCGTTCTCCACAGTGGCTTCCTCACCATCTTTGGCTCCATGCACGTTCCTGTACGGTCCTTCTCTACACAGCAGCAAGGTGCATATTGTAAAGACACATCTGTGTTTCCTAAATCTGAGTCTTCCTGCCTTGTTATTGTCTTGGCCCCATGCTTGTTTCTTCTGTAGCTCTCACAGTATGCAATTATTAATCTGTTTACTGCTTTAGTAAAAATGGAAGCTCTGAAAATTATGACAGATTGAACATACACATTTAATTTCGCTCCCTCCCCAAACCCTACTGAAACTACAGTAAAGAGATTTTGTTTAAGGCACAAACCCACCAAGATGAGGAGAATGAGAGTGGGGACAAGAACATGGCATTTGGAAGCTGGAAAACAGATGGTTGGGTGGTAACTGCACAGCAAACCAAAGTAAACCATAGCTTAAGCTGGATGTGGGGAAGGAGAAGCAGCAACCCAGCTTAGCTCACAGACTCCCCAAAAGGCCCAGGGAGGAGGAGGGAACGAAACAAGGTTGGAAGCTGTTTCAAGATCAGAAATGTTAGGGCCCTGGGTCCCTTCCCCAATCCCAGCAGAAGACTGAGGCTTATTCTCTAAAGAGGGTAAAACAAGGTCACTGGAATGGCAAACGGCAGGTGAGTGGAGGACAGACAGGGGCACCCTCCCCAAATCAGGCAATGAAGTGACCGTGTATACTGTGATGGTGACCTGTCTTCCCAAACCCTCTTTCCCAGCTTGCCTCCCAGAAAGCTGGCAGCCATGGCTTTGCTCTCTAGGAAAGGGATCAGAAAAAGTTTTCTCAAAGGTAACCTGACCAGGCCAAGAGGAAGGACCTACTGTTAATATCTTTAGAGAGACGAGAGAACATATTGCATCCACGCTACAAGAACAGGATGTTATTTTGAAAAGAAACGAACACCACCACCAACAAAAAGCCCTTGCAAATTAAAAATCAATGGAAGGGTTGGAAGATAAATTTGAGGAAATCTTCCAAAAAGTAAAACAAAAAGATATGGAAAAGAGAAGAGGAACATCTTTATTATTTTTTATTTCTACAAATTAAAAATCAATGGAAGGGTTGGAAGATAAAGTTGAGGAAATCTTCCAAAAAGTAAAACAAAAAGATATGGAAAAGAGAAGAGGAACATCTTTATTATTTATTTATTTCTATTTATTTATTTATTTATTTATTTATTTATTTATTTATTTATTTATTTATTTATTTACAGAGACAATTTTTAAAAAGAAAATTGGGGGGCTGGTCCAGGTCACTCAGTATCTGAATAACAGAAAATTACAGAAAGAGAAAGCATTAAAAACAATATGAAGTTATCAATTAAAAATTGAAGAAAGTTCCCAGAATTGAAGGACATGTGTTTCCATATGGAGAGGTGTCTCCAAGTGCTCAGTGCCATGAATGAAAATGGACCTGAATCCAGGACACCACTGTGAAACATCAGGCCTCTGGGGACAAAGGGACCCTACCGCTTCCAAAGCGGAACCGAGATTGTGTACAAAGCACCAGAAATCAGGATGCCTTTAGACTTCTCAAGAACAACTCTAAAAGAAAATAATTTTCAACTACAATTTTTTATAGCGATAGTGAAACTCTTATTGCACTTACTACATGCCAGGCACTGTTCTAAGGGTTTTTCATATATTCTGTACCCAGCCAAATGAGTAAGGACGAAGGCAGAATGAAGATATTTGCAGGCACGCAAGGTCTCCAAAGTGTCATCTCCCACACTCCCTTTTCCAAGAAACTATTGGTGTAGGTCTTCCACCAAAAGGATGGAGTAAATCAAGAAAGAAGCAATTCCAAGGAAGCCCAACACAGGAGCGAGGTGAGGGGAATCCCTAGGATGATTGTGAAGACCCCAGGATCCTAGGTGGGCTTATGGAGAAGCTCCTAAAGCCTGGGCTTCAGATTCCTGCACTTTCACGGCCCCTGGGAGTGCCAGGGGTGGGCAGGAGAAGCCAATCAGAAAGCATTTCTGCTAGACAGCCTAATGAGATCTTTGAAGAAAAAGTCCTGAGTCTCCAAAGGATCTGAAGCTCCAGGAACTTATATTTCTTTTATCAATCGAATATTTGTATGTTTTTAAAGTGCCCTCAAATTGTACAAACTTTAAACCCTACAAAATCTGAATCTTTCTCTGCCCAGAATAACTGTTCACCAGGTATAAAGAAGAAACACTCCAGCCTGGAGTGGAAGAAAGATTCCAAGAAAATTTTTTTTCAAGAAGATGAAACTGACTGACAATACATGATGCGGTAGTCATGGAGACACACTTCCCTGAGCCCCCTTTAAGGAAGGGCTTGCTGCCCAGCTGTGAAGTTTGGACAGCAGACCCCCTTCAGCTGTCAGCTGCTTCAGGGTTGGCCTCAGATGCAGAGCTGCGTCACCCAAGATCAGTTCCTTGCCTGGGGCAGCATCCCATACCAGGTGACTGAGCCAGGCAGGGTATAAAGGCCTAGCCATGTCAGCCTGGCTCAGGACACTCTGACAGGCAATATTTGCTCCAGAGCTTCCTGCCAAGGTGGCAGAGGCTTTGCTTGGCCTCGCTGCAGTTGGACTTCTCCCTCTGCCCAGTCCGGCTTCCACCCACTTCCTTCCACAGGTCTTGATTCCTAATAAACATCTCTATCGCTACATCTGTTTCTGGAGACACCAATCTGAGGCACCTGATTTACATTAACACCTTGAGATTTAGATAACTGGTGGAAGGTAGAATATATAAAAACTAAGCAAGTAACAAAACAGGACAATTATGAATCCTGGGAAAAGAAAAAGTACAGGAAATGAAAAGTAACCATAGCTTATATAGAGTAATATAAACGATAACTACTGAACAAACCAAAATTATGTTGGCAGTTTGGGGATTATGTATACGATGGGGCAGGTGATGGGGCAAGAGGTAGTGCTTAAAACTGAAACATCAAGAAGTGGCAAAATAAGCAGGTTACTTAAGAGATAATGGAGATAAATATAAAATATAATCAGCTAAAAGAGTTGAAAACAGGTGTCTCTGGGAAAGTGGAAATGGGGGAAGACAGTGGTGGACTGCCTTCCGTTTACATAGGAAAACCTTACAATACTTGTTATTTCCTTAAACCCTGTGTATGTATAAGTTTTGTTTGAAAAAGAAAACGATAAGCTTCCTGATGGCAGGGAACATGAGTCTTGTTATAAAATTCCCAGTGCTCTACATGGTGTAGGTGCTCAAAAAGTATGCTATTCCAGTAATTGACTAGCAGACATCTCCCTACTTGAAACTCTGAACGGCTCCCCATAGGGCACTGCATTCAAATCACAGTGTTTGTGAGGCATTGAGGGGCTACAAGTAGGATCTGGCCTCTGCAAACTCCTCTCGCTGACCCTTCCTCATATCTTCCAGGTGCTCACAGGCACATTGTTCCTTCCTGCCTCAGAAACTTTGCACATACTGTTCCTTTACCTAAAGAGCTCTTCACCAACAAACTCATAGATAGAGAGAACACTTTAATGGTTGCCAGATGCGAGGATGGTTTGGGGGATGGGCAAAAGAGGGAAGGGATTAAGAAGTACAAATTGGTAGTTACAAACTAGTCATGGGGATGTAAAGTATAGCATAAGGCATATAGTCAATAATATTACAGTAACTATGTATGATGTCAGATGGGTACTAGATTTATTGGAGTGATCACTTTGGAAGATACATAAATGTCTAATCACCATGATGTACACCTGAAATATAATGTTTTTTGCCATCTGTAATTGAAAAAATTTTAAAAAGCTCTTCACCACCATCACCTAGTTCTCATCCATAAATTGGTTAGATTTCAGCTCAAATATTACTTCCTCCAGGAGATCCTGTCTTCCCTTCTTCTTCACTCCACCAGCCAGAAGAGAAGGCCATGGTGGGCCTATTCCAGGATCTCAAAGGACTTTGTAGGCCATATTAAGGCATTTACTCTTTATCCAGATGAGAATAGAGAGCCACCAAAGTGTCACCAACCAGGAAAGGTAAATTTAAATATGGTGGTAGGTCCGGGGTCAGAATTAGGAAAAGCAGTAAGACCCTTACTTGGCGCATCGATGACCCTGCCTCAACAGTGATGACCCTGCCTCAACAGTGGTGATCCTGCCTCCCCGGGGCACCTTCAGCAATTCCCTATGGTAGTGATCTCCAGAATGGGACATGACTGGGGGCTCTAGGGATGATTCTGGTGTATGTCCAAATATTTTTTAAAGTTACATATTTATTTTAGTTGGTATTCAAAAACTAAAACTTACACGTTAAACCCATGATTATTTCATGGCTATTATGATTTAGAACAAATTTCATGAGGTTGATAACTCAATTTATTGACTAAAATTTGGGGCCTCTTGCTCAAGCCAAACTCACCAAGTACTCTGAAAAATCCTTCCATGCCTTTGTATGTATATATCTCTCCTGCCCTTCCCACCCACCTTGGAAATTCTATGCATCCTCCAAAGTCCCAGTTGAATTCTCAAGAAAGTGGGCTTTGATTTAGTGGTTAAAAGCCAAGGCTTATCAGATGTAAAGTTTGGACTTTGGATAATAATGATTTGTCAATATAGGTTTAGGTTCATTAACTGTAATAAATACACCACTCTGGTGTGGGAGGTTGATAGTGGGGAAGGCTGAAATAGTCTATTTTAAAAAGCCAACGCTTAGAAATTTAATCCTTAGATATATGACCTTGGACAAGTTACTTAACTAACCTCTTTGAACCTCAATTTCCCCATCTGTTAGGAATAACAGCCCCTACCCTTAGAGGACTGTGGTGAGAATTTAAAAGTACTCAGAAAGTGCCTAGCATACAGTAAGCCCTCCTTAAATGTTACTTGTTATTTTCAAAGAATGGGGAACCACAAACATGAGAGGGTTTTCCTTTAATTATTCATTTTTGTATGGCTTTCACATAGTAGGCACTTAAAGCTGGTTGATTGTTGGAGGCTTTGCTGCCTTTCGGAGGGATCATTCTCGTCCATAACGTTACTCTGTGAGCCGGATGGGGGCGGATGCTGGGTGTTCGCACCCGAGTTCCACGCGGTCCTAAAAAGGATTCACAGCGGCCAGGGGAAGGCACAGCGAACGCTCTGTCGTCGCTACGGAAACCTCAATCCCAGTCCTGGACTCCAGTTAGGAAAGGGCGGGGGTCTCAAAAGCCTGGTCTTCCCGAGGGCGGCTAGTCGCGTGGTCGCAAGGGCCGGGTCCCCATGAGCCCTGAGGAGCTCCGGATTTCAGACAGGCACTGCTCCCTCCGGCCACACGGTGGCGACGTTGAGCCAAGTTCTGCACCCTACCTGGGAAGTGCTGGGGAGGCAGCGCCCCGTCCGTTAGTCCTCCAGGGCCCTACTCTCCACTGGTGATAGGACAAGTCACCGACTTACAGGCGGAGAAAGCTGCTGGACCTGAGTTCACCGCAATACCTCCCACTGGGCCTTGAAATCCCAATTCTAGGTCGGACGTTCCCAGCTCACATGACGCCCTCCACCCCGAAAACGCTCTTGGGGCAGCCCCGCCTCGCTGCCAGCCCCGCGCAGCGCACCTGGCGGGCACCCGGCCAGATCCTGCTCAGACTCGGCCTCCGAGCCCGCTGCGCCAAGACCGAGCGTCACTTCTCACTCCAAAATACACTGGCCCGGAGGAAAGAAGGTGGACGTGGGTTCTGCGGCCCTTACTGCCCTGACCTCGGATCCTCTCCATCCTCTGCTTCCGCCCGGGCCTGCATCGCCTTCAAGCTTCTCTCAGCGCCGCCACCCACCTCCCCAACCCTCCGAATATATGTCCCGGGATCTGAATAGGTACAGTGATTGACCCGCTGGAGGTGGCCTTGCAGGCCACAGAGTCGGACGGAGCAAGCGCAAGCACGTGCCGGGGCGGGGCCTCAGAGGCGGGGCCTCGCGGGGCGGGGTGACGGGTTTGGGTTCCCGCGGGCCGAGGAGGTACGCGAGGCGCG